GTTGTTCCACAGTACCCGTAATTTTCGCTTGACACGGTTGATTTTTTCTTCCCAAGATTTCTATCTCAGCTCCTGAAGTCTCTCTCTAAGCAAAACAAGATAAAAATATGTTAGCAAAATAAACGATAATTTTGTGCCTTTTCTCTTTTTCAGTTTAAGTTTTCTAGCAGAGATGAAGGGAAATGTTTTTTTGGATAATTTTTATTTTTATTTTTTTCCTTTTTTTTTGTTTATGAAAAAGTTGCTAAATTACATACTTCATTTGCTTCAAATTTGTAGCCTTTGAACCCATAACATATCCTGATTTCCCTTTTTGAATGTTAAAAATTTCTTGATTTTGCGACATATTTTGAAAGTAAAAAAAAAGCAACTTTGGGTAAAAACAAGAAAAAGGATTTTAAGTATTTACTATAAATATTGGAATGGGTTTAATGCTTTCAGAGACCATCAGCTTTTGCAACACTTTATATAAGGAATCAATATCTTTGCGACTTTCCATTTTTAGAAGAAAATAAACTTGAGGGTAAAAATTATAAGAAGTTACATTTTGGGAAACAATTACAAATGATTTTTTAATGAGTAAGATTGTTAGTAAACTTGTTTATGCAATAGTTTTTTGCTCACTACATTTTTTAACTACTTTTGAATCAATATAATGTAACTTCTGGTCGTCTGCTCCTTGAAACATTATTACTATTCTTTTATATTAATATCTGTTGTTAATGTTGCAAAAGTCTCTTGTATTTGAAACACCACTCATTAAAATTTGTAAATAAATTGAATAAAATATCTGCTATCCGATAAGAACAAGAATACAATTCGTGAAAGGTAGAGACAAGCATGTCAATTACTAATTCAAAAAAAAAAAATCCTTTTTCGGATTAAAACCTTTTTTAATGATGCATGCATAATAAATCATATTTGTTTTAAGTTTTTTTTTGCGGCAGCGACCAACTGTTCGAAATAAAGAAAAAAATACACATTTAGCCTTTTTATGATAAACTTTGAACTTGAAAATCTTGTTTTAGGAAAATTGGTTAATGTGGTGTAACCTTATCAAAATTAAAAAAATTTGATAAGTAAAAAAATAAAATTTTTGAATTTAGGGATGCAAAATTCCGTATTGAAATCTATATTTTTGTGTGAAAAATCTTATGAATGAAATCCTGTTTATTATTGTTTAACAACACCTACTTTCATTTTATAATAGGAAAAAAAAACACGACAAAAAATTTCAAAATGAAAAACAGGAATTAAGCGGTCTTTTTTTATTTTTTTATTATAGAAGTTAGTTATAAAATTTTGTGCGTTTATTGAATTTGATATTTGTGATATAGCGTGATATACATAATAGCAGGCTTGGAAATTGATAATTTTTACTATTTATCTTTATTATATGTAAATTGTTTCTTAGCAAACTCCTGCATTCTGGCTGACAATCAATTTTCATCTGTTTCGTGTTATTCTTAAATTTTCCTTCTATCTATTACTATAAGAATTATATCCTCCTTGGCTTCTTTCTTATTTACATGTCTTATAAAAATGTACATTATATGTTAACTATAGTAGTAGGGTATATTAAAATATTACGTTAATTTAGGATAAAAACTATTATTCATTATTATGCATGCATACTATTTTATAATAATAAAGTTTTATACTAATTACAGAAATGATAAAAGTATTATGGTTTCTTCCTTTATTTGTTGTTTACACCAATCATACTGATTGACTCAAACAACAAGCAGACGGATATCCAGACATTTTGAGTCAAATAGCATGAAATTATATAGTCCTTTGCACGCTCCAGATAATTACAGTGTAAAGTATATATAAAGATTAGAGCCCATAAATTCGTGCATTTGCATAATAACACATTAATGCACTATAATTTTGCATAACATATGCATTATACGTTTCGTACTATTGAGGCAATTTTTAACACTTTTTGCATTTTTCACGTGATCTAAATCGAATTTACCATTTAAGGAAAATTCACGTAAATCTGATCATTGTTATCTTTTTTTTTAATAAAAATGGTATTGGCATTGGAGAGATTATCAAACGTTTCTAATTATCAAACTCATTTTCGTCTAGAAAATCAAAAATTATATTGTAAATTTTGAAACAAGTAGTTAAACATGATTGAAAGTCTGTTTTAGAAGCTCATATAAACTCACCAACTCATTTAAAAAAGAAAAGAGAAATAGAAAGTGGTGCTAAAACTTTATATACAACTATACCAAATATTTATCAAATTAGATCAGAAAAACAAGAAATAAATTTGCATCTTGTTGAAGCATTTACTAAAGCTGATATTCTACTTGAAAAGGTTGATAAACTCAAACCTTTTTTATAAAATATTGTAATAATGGTAAGATTATTTATATATATTTGTTTATTTATTTATCTTAAATATTTATTACTAATATTAATGATTAAAAATTAAAGGAGAAGCTGTTGTTAATGCAAACCATTTACGCGAATGATATTTATCAGCTGTTTTTGAATTAGCAAAAAATTTATTAATAAATGAATTAGCTAATTAAAGAATTTCTATAATTATGGATGAAATAACAGATAGTTGTGAAAGAAGTATGCTTAATATATTATTTAGTTATTATAATAATACTAAATTAGTAAATACCATTTTTTTAGAAGTTATAAATCATTCAACAATTGCACAAGCTTTTGTTAATACTATTCATTCCTATAATATTCCTTTTACCAATTTAATATTTTTTATTAGTGATAATGTATCATATATGAAGAAAGTATTTAATGTATTTTATTTCAAACTTATTTCATAACACATGTTTTTCTCATATTTATAATCTTGTTGGTGAATCTTGGTTAGATTTTGAACATTTTAAATTATTAGATATTGTAGTAAAACATATTAAACTTTATTTGTATACTCAGTAGCAAGAAAAAGAAGATAGAGAGAACATTTAATTTCAAAATCTATTCTTTTAAATACAAATAAAATTTTATTTAATAAAGAAAACACATAAGATTTATCTGCTAATTTACCTCTTTTACCTATTAAAACTAGTGGAATTCTTGGTTTAAATTTATCAACATTTTATTACATCTTTTATTGAAGAATCTGCAGAAAAAAATTCTAATGCTATTAAAAAATTAAAAGAAAATTTTCAGAATCAAAGTCAAATTTTTTATATTGATATTTTAATTAAATTTATTTCATTTAATGCACAAAGGTAAATATTAAATTTTTAAATTTTTTAAATTATTTTATATTTATTTAAATATCAAAATTAAAGTTTTTAATTTTTAGATTAATGTTAGATCTTGAATTTTTTAAAATAAGAAATCTGGTTATTGCACCTTTTGTTATTTTGGAAATTATACAAACAAAAGCTTTTTTACAAAATAAAACAAATAATTCACCATTTAGTGTAGAAATGATACAATTATTATCTTATAATTATCAAAATTATGAATATCTTACTCCAATTTTTTCTGAAGTTTTTAAAATAGTATTAAAAAAATTTGAAAAACATGTAAATTTTCATTCTGTATTATCATTATTAATACTATTCAATGTTTTAATCCTCAATTTATTGTGACTTATCAGAAATTTTCGAGAATTGTAATTTAGATTTAAATCAATATTGGCAAGAAAAACAAAGAATTCTTCTGAATTTATCAAAAGTAACGTTAATTTATATATGGTTACTTATTTCAGGATTGATGTTAAACATAGTTTTTTCAATTATAAAAGAATTTTAGATAGGTACAGATCACTTTCAGAGAATCCTATTGAAATGTTGAATTTTTTATATTATAATAATCAATAAAATTGAAATTTTATATTTTTACAATATAAAAAATTCTTTTGCATATTTTGCATTTTTAGTAATTTTAAAATGCATAATTTTTAATTTTGCATCGCATAAACTCATGAGCTCTAATGCATGTGCTTGAAGTCTTGGTAGGCATAAAATAAAATTTTGTTAATTAATAAATTTTGAATTTTAGTGTTAATATTAATTGAATATACATATATATTTTTTAATGAATAATATCTTTAAATTCATATCGTAATAATAATTTGTGCGATCTACTTAGCGATCATTTTCATTGTCTTATAGATCAATTTTTTAGAGTAAAAAATTCAAGTCTTGACTTGGGTTTATATGGGTTAAACTATACTTAGGTCAAGTCGATTTGGGTTATAAAAAATTTGTGACCTGAATACTTATAGGTTTCCTTTTTCATTCAGATCAGGTCAAATATATTCTCAAAACCTGACCCAACTTGACCTGTTAGGAGCACTACTCTATACCACCAATTACTGCTAGGCAGGATATTAATATGCAAATCAAGTTGTACTAACAGTTCTATCCTAACTACTAGTATACTGACTGGATTTTTTTTAGTATTAAGATAATATTCAGAATTTTGAGCCTATTTTATCATGGTATACTAATTTGATATATAACCTTTTTATTGTAATATTTTTCTAATATGATCAAAGAGTATCTAACCTAATCAATATAATAATTATTTTTTTCTCTTCTGATTAAGTTATAGGAGAATAAGGGTATGATTATATAACATGTTAAAATATTCACTTTTTTAGTTAAATTTTATGAGTTTTCTATTAATATAATAATAAGCTTTCTAACCTAAATACTACACCTGTCTGAAGTACTATCATTCCTCACTACCTCTCAAACTTGTTTTATCAAAGATTTAGGTCTTTCTTATAATCCTGTAAACTCGTTGGATAACTATTACATAGAAAATTTTAAAGCTATAATTATAGTATTTAGAAATCAAAAACCCTTATGGTTGCTTCATTGAACTTCCTAAATTCCTCAAAAAAAACTTTATTATAGATTAAAGAGTTTAACCCAAAATAGGCAGATTGTAATATTTTGTCTATTTGCAGGTAATATATTCAGTAGGCAATCTATACAAAAAAAGAAAGGATCAATTATTGTATTATTATAATAAATATATAATATGCTATTTTGGTAAAGAATCTATAGCTCAGAAAACTTGTTTTACATACTCATAATTATTTTTTGAATCTGAGAAATCTATACTATTAAGATTTCCTTCAATGGTAAAATATTCAGATTTATAATAATCAATTTCTAGTAAATTGCATAGATCTATTCTGTTATGTAATTTGTATATCTTATATCATGCATATTCTGAACTTTTAATGAAGTTTAAATCATCATTATTATAATATTTATTAATATAGTAATCTTTAGGATTCAATAGCCACTTTAACATATGAGACTAATCTGAACATTTGATGATTCTATAATCTTTCAAATGTAATTCTATAAAAACAACTATGTATGTCACAATAAGTAATCATTCTTATAGCTGATATTTCTTCTTTTCTGCCCAGTCATATGAAATATGATTATCATATGATCTATTCAGAAAATCTTTATGTAGATCTTTTGCTAGAATTTTCGATTAATATACTATACATATAAATCATAAATATCTCTATAATCACGAGAATAAAAATATTTCTTTTCGTCAGAAGTACTATCATTTCTCACCATATTCCAAACTTATTTTGCCATGTCTTATGTCTTAACTTGAAAGTTCTCCAAGCCTGTTGGCTAATTTTTGCACTGTTAAATATAGAATAAGCAATACTCTGTCTAAATTATAGTCATTATTATATGTATAAAAATCACGTTGTATATATATAGAATAATTTATAAAAATCCTATCAACCTTATCAGCAGTGTTTAAAATTTAAGTCAAAAAGTTCTTGTATAATGTACAGATGACCAGTATAATAATATACACATATTATAAAATACATGTATATCTGTGCATATGAAATCAATTTAAATACATATATATTATATATATAATTTTATTAAATATAAAAGAAACCAAATCACTTTATTACAAGATTTTGATCAAGTTTTATATGCACATTTTATGTATATTAATTAATATTTTTTAGATATATATCAAATTATTGTGTAGATTTTATTTAAAACTTTTAATGCAACATGTGCAGAAATCTTTTAATTATATTTGCACATTTTAAAAAATGTTTGCACTTGTGCAGCTTGTGCAATCTAATTTTAAACACTGCTTATCAGAACTAAGTGATAATATTCTTCTCACATTTTTCATATTCATTCGTATAGAATTAAAAGATGCTATACGCCTTTCAGCTGTTTTAGCAATACATTTATTTAGGTGATCATTTGCACATTCTATAGTATTTTTACAAATAGATACTAAAAAGTCACATAAAGTGCAATAAATATAAAATGAACACTTTTCAGCTTTAAATTCTCCTTCTTTATAAAATCTTTCAGTCATATAGATAAATCTATTCTTAAAAAAGTATTTTGGATTATTTTTAAGAAGTATTTTAAATGGATAACGAACATGAGAATACCACATTTCTAGTATTTTATTATTATAACTATATTACAGATTGTTTAGCATTTGCATTACTACAAGATTCAAACTAGAATAGTAATTAGTTTTAACTATTTTGCAGATATAATGAAATTATAGCAATTTTAGTGATTTATAGCATTTTTTAGCGATTTAAAGACTTATAGCAATTTATTATAATAAAATATTATATTCATTTTTATTCGATTGTAAGCATATTGGAATTTATATAAGGTCAAATCCTAGTTATGTTAATTTTATATATGCATAGCACCTTTAGCTAAATCAGCTTCCTTGATAAGATTTGCAAAAATATTACATATTTCTGATAACGTTCTACTCTGAGAAAAGAGGAGACGTAAAATAACATATATTATATTATAAATATTATAGGTATTATCCTAGTACTATCATGAAGTTGAGTTGTTTTTTAAAAATTACTATGTCCGATATGTATTGAAAATGTATCAGTCAGATGTATAAGGCAATTTAGCCAAAACAAAGTTTAGGTTTATTTTAGCAGATATATATTGCTCGAATTATGCAAAATCATATACAGTATATAATCAGATGGGAAGCAGTCAGTAGAAAAGGGAGAAATCTAAATTTTAGTCAAAATTTATATTATTAAACCACTTGGCTAATCTTGATTATGTGCACAAATTTGGGTTAATAATAAAAATTAACAAAAATTTTGGATTTTCCTTTTTTACTAACTGCCTTTCAGATAATAATCATATTTATGCAATATCTAATATTTTGGTTAGATTATATGACATGTGAATAGATAGTCATAAATAAAGATGATACAGCAATTGATTTCAAATTTACAAAATGTTGCAACATAAGCTAAAATTAGTTGCAACATATGTTGTAACATTATAAGTTGCAATATATATAGGTTAAAACTAATTGCAATGTAAGTTGCAACATTAAAAGTTGCAACATATTAATTACAGTTCCCATATTTAGTCATAAATCTACAATTGAAGTCATTTAATCCAACTTTCTTTGATTTCGCAAATCATTTTACTAAGAAAAAATTTTGTGAATAACATATGTCAAGCCAAAAATTAGATGATCAACCAATATGGCTGTATTATTTTACTTGAAAAATAATATGTATTTTTCCAATATACAAATCCCTGAACTATTTTATATATAAATATTCCTATTGCAGAACAGATATCTTGGCATCCCTATCTGAAAATAAAAAACACAAGTTTTCCTAGAAAACAGGCTTGAAGTAGATATATTAATACGAATAAATCCATTTACTATATTTTTCTTCTTAATATATAAGAAGCGGTTAGTAAAAAAGGGGGAAATCCAAATTTTGATCAAAATTTATGTTATTGGACTACTTGGCTGATCTTGGTCATATGTATAAAATTAGCTTAATAATTAAAATTAACAAAAATTTTGGATTTTCCCCTTTTCTACTAACTGTCTCCCATATATAAATATTAATAAAACAATTACTCCAACTTTTTTCAGGAGTAACGTCAACATTTTTGCTAAAACCTATTAAGTGATTTTCCAAAAAAAAGATCTCTATATCCTATAAACTAGAATAAAATAAGTAAATTCATTTATCTTGCTTTTCTCGTTATTCCTACTGATACATTTTTCAGATATGATCAATATCAGATAACTGGGATTGCTATTGAAATTGATGCTTTAATTAGTGAATTAGAATCTCAATTCCAAAAAGCATTACCTGGATGAAAAATTTAAAAATGTCTCTTTTTCTCTATACACAATCAATTATGAGGCAAAGATATGAAATTGAAGGATAAGATTAGTGATTATTTTATCAAAGATTCTTTTATGTTTGATAAGCATATTCACGTTCTTGTAGTATCTGCTATAGATGAGAAAAATAAGGCATAAATTTATAAGATATTCTTTTTATAATGTTAAAATAAGCTTTTATTATTTTGTAAAATTTTTTATAATGAATAAAGTATTTTTTCGTATGATATAAAATAAAATAAATTTTTGTGAAGTTGCAAGAGAAAACATGCTCTAAATGCCAGATAAATGCAGTAGGTAAATGGTCTAAAATATTAGAACACTTTCAAAGCCCTGTCTCGAAAGACAATGACTGCTCCTATTCTTTAACTCTACTAATTACTTCTATTGTTACTATTACTACTAATACTGCTACTACTAACATTATTATTTGCAAAACTAACTTTCCTTTTTTCCTCCCTAGAATTATTTTATCTATAGAAGTAGTTCTTGAGGTCTTTTGATATTGATAGAAGCTGGCTAATGTGGTAGAACTATGTTTGATTTCTTGAGATAGTATATTATACATCTGTATAGAAAGCATTTCTCTCTTTTTTTTATATTGAAAATAGCTGTGAACTTGACCCAGACATTTGTATTTCATCTATATATTCAGAATATTGAGATTCACGACTTGTGGAAGAAAATCTGTTAAAGCTGGCTAGGAAGAATAATATGTGAATTAGATCATGCATAACCTAAGTTCTGTGAAATTCAATCACATAGGGGCTCACCTTGTGAAATAGCATCATTCTTCCATTCATTCTCAGTGTACATTTTTTGAAATTCATTATTTAAGACAAGGATGGATCTTGAAAGATCACTATTTCTTCCAGTCTGTTATTTGCGAAAATAGATGAATGCTCTAGCAAAAATTATATATAGGAATAAAATTTCCCAAAAAAATAGCTTGGAGATTCTCAATGAATATAACTCCCCAGAATATCATTTCGTAGAATATTACTACAATGCAGAAGAATGCGAGCAGGGAGATGTCTGTGGATAATAGCATTTTATTAATTTGTTTGTTTGAGAATTGTTTGATAGAATTGTGCAAAACTTTATTTTTCGATTTGCAAAATTTATAATTGATTATGCATGAAAAGATTTTTGATTTTATTTGAAGCAGAGCTCTGATTCTTTTATTTGATAGAATATTTGAGTGGTTTTTAATGTGCGTTTGCAAAATTAATATATATTATTTTTTTTATTTGATTCTCTTACCAGACGCCTTCGATATATCCAGTATTTTTATAATTATGATTCCTCTACGGTTAAGAGCTAGATCGTCACAAAACATGAAAGTCCTTAGATCTTCGCTAGAAATCATATTGCCTAATAATTAGTCGATCCTGAGTTCTCTGTATTAGAATGCATTAGCTCAGCAATCAAAAATAGTATATATATACAGCGGATACCTTTGGGATCGCACCTTCAGCTAAATTTATCATCACTAGCTGAGATTAGATGCAGTGTTAAAAGCTTTTTTATTTTGCGATACATTCTATAAATACAAAGTTCAGGTATCACGATACAGATAATAAGTTTTTTATTATTTCGTATGCAACTGCTTATCTTCCAATTTTGCAACTTTTTCTCTAAGCTCAGCATTCTTAGCCTCAAGCTCAGCTTTCTCAACCTCAAGCTCGGTGATGCATTGTCTTAATACTTCAAGCTCAGGCAACATGATTGATAAAAATTTTATACAGTACACACATTTAAAATAAAAAATCACGTGCGCATTACAAATTGTAACACCGATCACTTTTGCCAAGAAAAAAAACTGCTAAGTATTTTATTAATACAGAGATGATTAGCATATTCTTAATTTTTTCGATGCCATTACACACCCATGTTAAAAGCAAAAGTATTTGATGATTACAAAGAATGCAATTTAATACCAGAAACAATAACTATATAGCCCAAATAATTATTATAAACATAAATCCATAAATCGAAATTCAAAAATCCAGAATATGTCCATATCAATGACGCCTTTTTTGGTTCTTTTTCTTGCCTTTTTTCTTTTTTTTCTTGTCACTTACGGGGTGAGAATTGCATCCTTCCGGCGAATCCAAATCTAAAAGTAAAGAAATTAGTTATATTAAGACAAAGAACAAGCAAAAATATGCGTAAATACCAGATAGCTCCCATAAAGTTCCGTCTGATAAAACATCCCATAGCACTGCTTTCTCTGATACTGCATTGAAAAATTCCTGAAAAACCATAATATATTGGTCATAGCGTCCCATCTGAATACACGTTCATAACAGTCCAGAAAAAGTAAGTCACAGTAACAACTCCCAATTATAATTATATGAGAAAAACTGCATTGTGCAATATTCATTACGTCACGATAAATATAATCTTTTTGAAGATCACCACTTCGAATCTTTATATTAAGAGATTTTGCAATACGACAACGGTCTGATTCATTCTCAATCATTTCGGCTACCAAGGTTGGATTATTGCCAGATGAGTCGAATATATTATTGTAAGATAAAGAGGACATAGAACTTCAATTCTCCATTTAGGCGTACTGTCCAGAAGTACAAAGTTGCATGGTATTTTCGGGTAGTCTTCTTTCCATAAAGAACCCTCCGGGGTACTGACTCTGAACAATAGCCCAGGATTGTGAGTAACCTTCCAATTTTTTCTCAGTTTGGATATTTAAATACATTGTTTTCATCACTTTTACTCTCTCTTTCACTGCTAGTTCGTCCGTTTTGTATGCCTGTATTCTCTCTTCTTTCGTTCCTCTGGTCCTTCCACGAATTAATACCCTGTAAAAGTAATTCTTGACGTTTCCCTTCTGAGAGGAGAATGTGAGATTTACCATGGTTGGAAGAGTTTCCTCCTCCCCCATTTCCAGTAATTTTTCCACACAGACCAACTGCATTTTCTCCAGATATGCGACTTGGTTTTCGAATTTCTTCATTAGAGGATTTACCTTGTAATTGCATTTCACTTTTGGAGGTCGACTTATGCTGTACGTCCAAAGAAGGGCTACAGCATCCCACACAGTGACGATAAGAATTGAACGAGCAGATGGTGGAGTCATCTCCTTGCCCTTGTGACCATAAGGTATTACAACTCCATTCAACCTGCATAAAATAATGTTTTGTTAAATCACGAATGATACTCTCTGCTTTCAATTTCTTTTATTATTTCCTAAGACAGCCCATTATCAATTAAACTACAGTCAGAGTGACTATGCGATATAACGAATTTTATAATAAATGATTTTTTAAAATTTTGTCTTTATGAACTTATATAAAAATGGTTATATCAAACAAATTAAACTTGACATGGCGAATTTTTTCAGTGAACCGAAGAGTTTGTTATATCAAGTTCTGACTGTACTCCCATTTACTTTTTTTTCATGTGAAAATTCACCTGTAAGGATCTATGAATTCCGTTATTATAACTCTCATCCATGGTTCGTTGGGGTGTGCTGTTAACTAATTAAATCAAAACTATATGTAGTTACACTAATCTTTAATTAACATATGATTTTTGGCTGAAGTTTGAACGACAATATACTTTATAGTACCACACATATACATGAAGTCGAAATGGATCATTTCAGATATCCGAAATGGTCGAAATGGTCAAAATCATTTCGACCATTGAAGGCTAAAGTCGCAAAATAGTCGAAATGACGCCATATCACATGATTTTTCATATTGAGAAAAAATAATAAACAAAAAATGTACGATCTCGG